GCATGACGGCATTGAACTTGGCCTTCTAGATCTTTCCGGTTTAATGGGATAATAAACAGGCAGCATAGAGGAATTGTGCATAACACTTAGCTATTATTGCACGATGTGTTACTTGTGTCAACCTTTGGCTTTTTAAGGAAACTGTATTTCTTGAAGCAGCTTCAGGTGTTATATTTTTTATTTATTTATTTTTGACGTTCCATCAAGTCACTTTGACAGTTGTGTGAAAAATGTAGGTGAAAACAGATATGGCACTCAGTTGCGGGAAAGTGGAGATCTACCTATGTAACCATCTGGGGTAAGTATTGTTTGCAATTTTCTGGAAATGATTTAAGACACATTCAGCATGTTTACACCTTTACTTTCTTAGTTTCAGTCTGAGTTAGGTTTGTGAACATTTATTTTTCATCACAAAATAATTGAAGGATAATTAGAGAAAAATGTAGTTCCAGGATTTCAATACTCCTGATAGTCCTTCCTCATTTGTGTGGCCCTTCTGTGGTAATTGTGCCTCCACTTGACAAAAAATGTTGATTTTCTTGCTATTCTTCTGTGGTTTAAAAAACAAATAAAAACACAATCAGATGTTTCCTGTGCGACCTCATCTAGGTCCTGAGTTTGGTAGAGAGGGAGAACCTTGTCAACATTTTAGATATGCATGCATGTGTGCACACATGCAGGTTTCATGGACATAGACATAAAGAGAAAGATCATGTAGTACCTTTATTTCTTTTTACTGGCAATTTGCATTCTGCACAGCTGTGCAGGCCAACTATTTTCAAGAGAAAGCACAAAAGCAGAACATCAAAATCACATACCTAATAAGCTGGCACTTAAGTTAAATTAGCAATGTGTTTCTGGGAAACAGTGGCCCTGGTGGTTTTACCAAGGGAGACCTGTTGTATTTAGAAAAAAAACATGCATAATGTTTTTTGAGGAGTACTTAGATGTGAACAAACAGAAAATAAATAAATATTCAGAACAAAGAAAATGCAGTACCAGATGTTAGTGTTGCTCTCCAAAAAACAAAAGTCCCCAAAAGACCATTTTACTCTGACAAACATCAGGAGCGAGCCCACACTTGAACGTCCCGTACAGCGTGGAGAACTGTAATCCATCAAAACACACTCCCCTACTATCAAGCGACCAAATAGGTTTTTTTTTTTTCAACACCTGTCAATTAAACAGATCCTCTCAAAAATAGACAGACAGACAGACAGACAGACAGACAGACAGACAGACAGACAGACAGACAGACAGACAGACAGA